GATATAATGGGCAATTTGATATCAAATTTGATCTTTCTAAGATTTGACACTTTTTAATTGAGTTATTGGCCATTTTTTAAAAATTTCCCAAATAATATTATGTACTTGAAGAGGGCTTTCCGGGGGCGACGTGTTTCCATAAAATTAACACTCCCTGCCTGTTCTTCAACAGCTCAATCCTCATCCTTCGTAAGTTTTTATAATTTTATCTCTATATACATATACGTAAGTGTATGTATAGGTGTACGTTGCACACATATACGCATCGATTTCATACACATGCGATGTGATTTATGGCATTGTATATGTGTATGGTGTTTGGAATTATTTTTATTTCTCGAAAACCTTACTTTACTTTGAGGTTCTTTTACTTAATTTGTTGGATTGGGAAAACTGATTCTGATGACTTCTGTGTATTTGATATATGAATTTGTTCTGCTCCTTTTTGTCAGTTTTGCTAGCGCTTGTTCTTTTGGTTTGGGTGATGAGGGAGTGTTTTTTTTCTCCTTTTTTTTTTGCTTGGGGGTTGGGTTTGTTGTTGTTGTGGGGACATTGTACCTTGATTGAGGTGAATTTAGGTTAAGATTATTCCAGGATTGGGTACTAGTAAACTTAATTTTGATGGGCTTCCCTTTACAAAAGCTACATCCTTTTCAGTTCTTCCCCTGACACTACCTCATTCCACCACCCAAAAAAAAAAACCGAACAAATAAGAAGCAACGAGGACAAGGAAGTTAAGAGGATAATGCAGCCCATCCTTGACCGAAAGGATGACCTTTTCAAAATATTTGAATTTCTGTTCGTGTTGAGTGGAGGGCTTGATTTAAGAAGGTAGCTAGATTACAAAATGACTAATTATTAAGGTGGATATAGTGGGAGGCTCACAGGATGGATATTAACTCAGTGATAGAGCGCGTCCCTTATAATTGCTTTTGGACTGTGAGGGCTCTCAGCCATAATGGAATGGTATGATTAGATTTACGGGATCTTTCCATTTTTCAAAATATACAGAATTTTTTTATTCGTCATTCATATTCATGAATCGTTCATTATAATATTAGAATCGCCACACTATAAATAGAATATAGAAAAGAAGCTAGAGAATTTAGGTAAGAGATTATTTTGAAGGAGTTAGCTACGTATTAAATGCAACCTATAAGGCTACGACTCTGATATGTCTTGCACTGGAGGGGTTTTGTGTTATGTATTTCAGACAAATATTCTATTATGTTATTCTCATCCAATTTTTGTCTACATACCAGGTCATGTTTACATTCATTTGAAACGTTTACAATGACAAAAAAGTAAAGGAGCACCATAATGCTTATTCACAGGCTATTTCGCTTACACACACACTTCATCTATGTCTGACGTTGTCTAGATCAAAAATAGATGTATTAACAGTATTGATTACATCCGATGGAACTTAGCGGTGGTTCTCTGTAGCTGTCCACAGGAGTAGAATTGAGAGTTCTGATTCCTGTTATTTTAATTAAAAAGAAACGATTCTGGTTTATATCATTTTATCTATCGGGCTGAAGTCACATAAGAAAATTGAATTAACCAGCTTTGCTAAATTAAATTTTCAATAGATAGACTGAGAGTTACAGCGAGTTAGTTAGGTAAATTATTATTTCGAAAAATACCTTCAGTGCTTTAAAATCACATTGTCAATTGAAAGACTTGGAGCAATCATGTCAATGACATTCACTAATTCTGTAATCTTATGAATTTAGGGAGACCATGACTTTAACCTCAAATAATTCTATTAGAATGCTGAGATTCAGATTTTGTCAATCTTATATTTGATTGTGTTGCTCTCCTATTGAACCTTCAGGGTATGCGTAAGAGTTGTGTTTATGTTTTTACCATTATTAAGATACTAAATGAAGGACAAAAGTACCTGATCAGCAATTTCACTTTTGAAGTCTCCATTCCCATCCCCTATATACCAGCTGATGGGCTTTCTGGTACTAGATTTATTCATATATATGCTATTGTAATGGTTGTTCAAGTAGGTCTTCAAGATGGTATTATTCTTCCATTTTTTTTCCTAGTTTAGGCCACTCTATAACTAACTTTGCTGGGTTTGCTCTTCGTGAAGTTGCCTTGCTCAGACATCCTTAAAACAATGTTGAATATCATCACTAGTATGAGCTAGTTTTAACACACAAAATTGTTTCGATGTTCCTATTACGAATCGAGTTATTAGTCACTCTCAAATAATGTGCTTTTATGTGCTGTTCGTGGTCCACAAGCAATAATTTGTCATTAAGTGGCATAGAAAGACTGATTTGTTTAGCTCATAGTAGTATGCATTTGTCAATAAGTGCATTTGGTGTTGGTGGGCATGGGAGGGTAGGATATAGCTGTGTTGCCCGGACTCCTCCTTCCGGTCGGCATACTCATGTCGACACGACATGGGTATGAAATATGGGGCGAACATGGCAATTTTCAACCAGTCAAGGTTAGGGGCGGAACTTGTTGGAACTTGGATGCCGCCAATGTTGTGCAGATAGCCGCGAAGCATGAAAGGATTAGGGAAGGAAGAAAGAGTTTGTTGGACTTGGGCCTTTAGTTTTGGGCTTTTTTAAAAAAAAGAAAATTTGGGAAAATTTCATTTTTAAGATGTTAAGTATGTGCCATTTCAAAAATAAGAAAACAAGTTTCAAATTTCAAAAATTAGATTTTTTTTTAATTTTTATTTATGAATTAATAAATTATTAAATAAATTTATTTAATATTTAATTCTAATATAATATAATTAATCCACTCCACCTATGCCACCCCTACTGCTCCGGAGACTATTCCGGCGATCGTTCCGGCCACTACTCTTCTCCGACGATCGTTTCGACAACTTTTCTGATGGCTATTTCGGCGACTGCTCCGATTTCGACGACTATTTCGGTGACCGTCACAGGTTTATATAATATGGTCACAGATTAACAATTTAGTTAGTCACATATTATTTTTCAGTCACGGATAATAATTCTTATAGGTCACATATTATTTTACGGTCACAGTTCAAAAATTTTGTAGGTCACAATTATTTCTTTGGTCACATATTTCAAATTTAGTTGGTCACATATCTAGAGTCACGTATTATTATAGTCATCGGTCACATTTTGGTCACAGATTTACAATTTAGTTAGTCACATATTATTTTTCGGTCACAAATTATAATTTTTTATGTCACAAATTATTTTACGGTCAAAACTAAAAAATTTTATACGTCACAATTTGTTTATCAGTCACAGATCAAAAATTTTGTAGGTCACAAATCAAAAATTTTATAGATCACGATTTATTTCATTGGTCACGTATTATCAAATTATTGGTCACAACTTATTTCTCGGTCACAAGTCAAAATGTCACAATTCAAAAATTTTATAAGTCACAATTTGTTCATCGGTCACAAATCAGAAATTTTATAAGTCAAATTATTTTACGATCACAAATTAGAATTTTTATAGGTCACAATTCAGAATCGGAAATTTTGTAGGTCACAAATCAAAAATTTTAAAGGTCACAGTTTATTTTTTGGTCACAACTTAATCAATTGTGAGTCACAGTTAGAATTTTAAGGTCACAAATTATTAAATTTTAAGGGCAAAAGTTAAATAATTGGTCACAAGTGACCAAATAGTTGGTCACAGACTCACAGGTCAACTAATGGGTCACATATGACCACCACCCACAACCACTGCCACGACACAGCTGTCAAACACCACTGCACACCTCCACCTCCACCGCACCACCACACTACACACCACCACCACCACCACCCAACACAACACACATCCACTGCCACCAGTCATCACCACCACCTCCACGACACCGAACAGCTCCACCTCCAACTCCACTGCCACCATCGCCAAACAACACAGAATCACAGATTAGCACACATACCCACAGACGCCCACCTCCACCACCCGCAATCTCATAAAAAACCATCACCACCACCCGTCACTATTACCACCACCACCAAAACAACACAAATCACACACACAACACACAGATCGGCATACACAACAGATCGCCCACCTCCACCACCCGCAACCGCACAAAAACCAGCACACCCGCAACGAATCATCACACACCCATAACAGATCAACGACTGCGCCTCCGTGCGCATGGAGTCAAATCTCAACGCTACCGTACACCACCACTTAAATTATTGGTCACAACTTATTTCTCAGTCACAAATCAAAATGTCACAAATTATTTTACGGTCACAATTCAAAAAATTTATAAGTCACAATTTGTTCATCGATCACAAATCAAAAATTTTATAAGTCAAATTATTTTACAATCACAAATTAGAATTTTTATAGGTCACAATTCAGAATCGGAAATTTTGTAGGTCACAAATCAAAAATTTTAAAGGTCACAGTTTATTTTTTGGTCACAACTTAATTAATTGTGAGTCACAGTTAGAATTTTAAGGTCACAAATTATCAAATTTTAAGGGCAAAAGTTAAATAATTGGTCACAAGTGACCAAATAGTTGGTCACAGACTCACAGGTCAACTAATGGGTCACATATGACCACCACCCACAACCACTGCCACGACATAGCTGTCAAACACCACTGCACACCTCCACCTCCACCGCACCACCAGAAATCTTCGTTCCCACCACCACCCGACACAACACACCTCCACTGCCACCAGTCATCACCACCACCGCCACGACACCGAACAGCTCCACCTCCAACTCCACTGCCACCATCGCCAAACAACACAGAATCACAGACTAGCACACATACCCACAGACGCCCACCTCCACCACCCGCAATCTCATAAACAACCATCACCACCACCCGTCACTATTACCACCACCACCAAAACAACACAAATCACACACACAACACACAGATTGGCATACACAACAGATCGCCCACCTCCACCACCCGCAACCGCACACCCGCAACGAATCATCACACACCCATAACAGATCAACGACTGCGCCTTCGCGCGCATGGAGTCAAGTGAGTTGCGATGGCATGTGGTGGTGCTCACCAACAAAAACCATTACAAAATCACGATGCAGAGAAGGAGGGCGTGGGTGTGACGGTCCTACGAGCGGTTACGCGTGGCGGTCCTCAACGTTGCACCACCGAGCAAAGCTGCTGCAAAGGCAAAGCTGCCTCGGCGTCGCCGTTCGACGTCGCTACTATAGCGGATGCGGCGCTGGTGGGCGTTCCGACACTGAATGAGGAGATAGGTATGGTGCCGGTGGGAAAGTAGATCGAAGAGAGAGGGAGATGGAAAAAGCCGGTCGGAAGGCAATCGAGGAGAGAGAGGGAGATGGAGAGAAGTGAAGTGATTAAGGTTTGGAAATTAAAATGATTATTATATAATTAATATTTAATCTATAAATATAAAATATCTGATTTTTGAAAAGTGAAACTTGTGGTCTGATTTTTGAAAATGGATATTGAAAAGAAAGGTTTTGTGTAATTTCAACAGAAAATTTATACACTGGACTATTGCTGCTTTGTATCCACTGGGTTTAAAAAGAGCAAATTACACAAACCCCTTATAATGTCTATTATTTCTTAAGTATGCTTTTTGGTTCTATTGATTTAGATAAGGTCATTTTAGTTTTAAAAAATAGCATGGTAAATATTGTCACTAAATTTTTTAAAATTTTAAATTCTGGTTTTTTTTTCTTTTTTGCCAAAATGATTAACAAATAATTATAAAATCAACATATATAAATGTTTTACAACAATTTAATGGCATTTAATGGAATTAATATTTTTTCAAAGCTTGACAAAATATATAGAATTGATCAAATTATTGCATTTTTTATATATATTGTTTGGTTTAATGGCATTTTCTGGAATTTTTATTTTTTTCAAACTAATGGCATTTATATTATACGAAATTTTGAAAAATAAACTAATAATATCATAACAATAAAAGTGCAAAAATGTTGGCATCAAAAGTTTATAGCTTAGATTTCCTTCTAGTTGATTTTTGTATTAAATAAAAAACTAATTAAAATCAAAGAAGTAAAAATAAAATATTTATACGAAAAGCTAAAAAAAGATTTTTTAATAAATTCTAAAACAATTAATTTCTTGCTCTAAATTAAGAAAAAAAAACAAATAAGATAACAAATTGAAGTTAAATTTTTACATGTGAATTTTTGGTGAAAAAAAAATTTTTGAAGTATCAAAGACGTACCAACGTAGCCGTGTTTGAAATTTGAACTATTTTTCCTCGTGTCTTTGAATCCTACATTTTAGAAAATAAAAGATTCAACACTTAAATACGTACCTAATATTCATACTCGAGTCCGAGTATCATAGGGGCATAGCATGGTTATGAAAATCGGATCGGATTGGTCGGTTCAGCTTGAGAATGGCAAACCGAACAGTGGTCCAATCTAATTGGTATTAATTGGTTCGTTAACATATGAATCAGTCAAGAACGCTTGAATCGGTCCATAACCGTTCGAACTAGATGGGTTCAGAGAAAACAGGATGCAGTACAATCCAATTCAGATAGCTACGAAATTGGTTCAAAGCAAAATTTTATCTCACATTTTGCAATGGAAAAGATTCGAACCTGTGCTCCCTATATGAATAATGGAAAGGTTGACCACTATGGCAATTAAAAGATCTAGACGTTCAATGTGACGGAAATATATATATACAGTTTTAGCAAAATAATAGATATATTGTCTCTTTATTATAAATTTTTTTAACTAAAATTCGATCTTGCACTGACCCAATGGTTGAACTGACGACCCGATGATTTGCTTGGGTCGACAATTGGGTCGAGTATGATAACTATGGGTGGTAGGACTCAACATATCTAAGAGGGAGCACCTAATTTAATCAATTTCTAAACTGGTTTTCGTTCCTCTATTCTCATGTAACATGCCCTTCATTGCCAATATTAGGTGATGCTATTGCTGTATATTTCTATCTGCAATAAAAACTAAAAGCATTTTGATGTTTGGATTGTTCTCATTAGCTGACTGACTGGTATGATGCATGTGTTTGACTATATGACCTTTCTATATTCTGGGGGATTATATGTTCAATATGGGTCTGCTTCAGGGAATTTGGTCTTTCTGAAGATCTGTTTTTTGAGTGGAGTTTTTTTCTTGCTCCTGTGCATCTTTACCTTCCCCATTCCTGAGTCGTTTTTAAATGCAGGATAAATCATGGGTTGAGATTTAAATATTACTATAACGATCTTTCAGCAGTAGCAGCTTAGATATAATTCTGCCTTCTACGGACTACTGTGCATGAAATGGATGGAGGGCAACCAGAAAACAGAAGACATAGGTTGGATTACTATAAAGAAGGTCTACCTCCGGTAATAAGTCGACTATTATCTTTTCTGCTTATAGGAAACAATTTCATCAAAAGCAAATGGAATTTATAACTTCTTATCTCCACTTTAATCTTTTCTGACTCCAACTTTTAAGTTACATCAATTGCTCTTTCGTTTTCCATCTGTATTATTGCAGTGGAATATGATATCCCAGTATCAGGTGAAGGATCAGAATGCTTTCTTTATGAATAATAAGATCAGGATGCTCTGTGATGAAAGGTATGCTGCTGTTGTAGAACGTGATAGAGCCCTTGCCGAAAAGAACACAGCTGTAGAAGAACGAGATGCTGCAATCCTGCAACGAGATTCCGCGATTGCTGAGCGGGACAATGCCATAAGAGAACGTGCTGATGCCATTGCTGCCCTTCAATTTCAAGAAAGTGCCATGAATGTTGCATCGAGTGGTGGTGCACGTGGAACGAAGCGGACGAACGATTACATAAATCACCATTCCAACAACACTCAATCTGCTCGTAGTTTTAGGAAAGGGTACATGATTGATGCCTTTCCTTTATCTTCTATTCCATCTGAAGCTGCAAAGTTACTCCAAGTACAACAGACAAAATTGAAGAAGGGCATCACAGCGAAGTCAACAAAATCCGCCCGGAAGGCAAAGAAAGTAGGTGAGGATTTGAATAGGCATTTCACAACAGATGGGTCTAAGGCTGAATGGGAGGCTGAGAATTTCGGGTTGATGAACCTGATACACTTTGATGAATCTACCATGCCAATACCTGTTTGTTCATGCACTGGAGTACCTAGGCAGTGTTACAAATGGGGCAATGGGGGCTGGCAATCATCTTGTTGCACAACCTCCTTGTCGGTATACCCACTACCACAGATGCCAAACAAGCGACATGCGCGGATGGGTGGACGGAAAATGAGTGGAAGCGTTTTTAGCAAATTGCTTACTAGACTAGCAGCAGCTGGCCATGACTTGTCCATTCCACTAGATCTGAAGAACTACTGGGCCAAACATGGGACAAATCGCTATGTTACCATCAAGTAGCTTCTTAATCCTTGATCTGGCTACTCAGACGAGGATATGCTTATTATCACCAGTTTAAATGAACGTAAAGTTGAAACTTGAGTTCAAACACGCTCTCTGGGTTCACATCCACCTCATGCTTTAATCGATCCACCATTTCTGGAGCCTGAAAATTTTACGAACTGTTCAGATTTAGTACTGATTGCATTTAGGAAGGCAAATGAATGTAGTTATGGTTGAATTTCACAGTTAGCTATTTCAACTTTCTCCCTCAGTTTTCTGGGATGGGGGACTGGCTTTTGTAGTAGGCATTATTTGCCTTTGTATCTGACAACTGGTAGAGAGATCATTTTGCACTTTAGTTTTCAACTGGAGAATAAGTACTGTGCATGGAAGCCTTTGTTTATTTTTGCAAGGGGAAAAGGACTTGATGACGATATTGCTACTTCTGCTAGTAATGACCAGACGGGGCTCTCTGGGGATCCTGCAAAAGTTGCTTCAGTGCCACTATGCATGAGAAGGTACTGTTGAAGGCAAGGCTCGATTGATTTTAATATGCAAATTTGAGAGTGGTTTTGACTAAATTTACTCAAAATGTTGGGCTGCTTATCTGTTTAGTATTAAGCAAACTGGATTCCATTGAATTTCTATGCTCTTGGAGATGTGCGATTGAAAGTCAAACATTGCTATATGCGGAAATTATCAAGTTCGTAAAGGAATTATGATACTTGACTTAACAGGTCAAGTATGGAAGGCATTGTTTTTTCTCTTGGCACTGCGTATCTATGGAAGGCATATTTTAAGTTGGAAAATGCTGGATGAGATTTTGGAAATAATGTATTTTGGAATAGTAATTTTTGGGAGAATGTGGTTAAAAAAGATGGAATTTTTTTTTTTTTTATTTACGTGTAATATTATTTTTTTGGAAAATGTGTAGTTGAAAAAAAAAGAAATTTATGAAAAATTTAATGGGGGGCAAACAAGATCAAAGTCAATAATTAATTTTAACTACATATTTCGTAGAATCAACAACTTTTCAACTACACATTTCATCTACTTCTATCAAAATTTATTAAAAATTTGACTTAAATCTCTACCAAACAAGAGGTGCAAAGAGCCGGTTATAATATTTAAAATTTTTAATTCTCTAAATTGTAAAATATGCCCTTTGGAAATAAAAGAATCTCCTAAAAATGCTCTAACTAGCTTTGTGAATGGCCTGACAAATTACAATGTACGTCATGTAGTTCAACACAATCATTTACATGTTACCATGTCTGTCTTTCGTTTAATCAATTTAACGATTCTTTACCTGCCTTCTTTCTTTTCATCTTTAAACACTCCAACTCAAGATTCAATAAGAACAACTCCTAGTGGTCATCAAATCATTTTATTCTTAAGTAGATGTCTCTACACATTTGTATCTAATTTTACTAAGGGTCCGTTTGATAGATAAATGTGGAAAGTAATTCCAATTCCATATTAGTTAGAAAATAAAAACCCACGAAACCTATAGAAATTCATTTTCTATGAAAACAAAGAAAATGCAACTTAAAGTAATTGTAATTTGAAATTCGATTTCCATTTTTACGTTGCAATCAAGCGGTCAAAGTTGAATTCGTTTTCTTCAAATATGACATTTTTCATGAAAAATACGACAATCAAACGGGGCCTAAAATTATATTGCGAGTCAATTAATAAAAAGCTCAACCTTTACAACATATAGTAGTGTATTGCCAAGTGCTAATGCCAATACATCAACACGTACGCGTGGGCTCCACGCATCTTACACAACAAAGACCCCGTGTCTAAATCAAATAATTGTTCGAAATGGCTGCATTTGTCCGTTTAAGATGAATCATGGACCCACTCCCAATCTTCCTTATCCACTTGTCCCGGTTACCACGTCACACAATATGAAAATGCTTTTTCCGGATAATTTTAATTCTAATTTAGTTCATATTCAATAAAGAATAAATTTAAGAAATATTGAATTAATTACTTTGTCAAATGAATAATAAACTTTTATCTTGTCGAAATTATTCTAGAAGATTGCACCTAACAATTTAATTTAAACAAGGCAAAGAAAAATATCAAAGATGCTTGCTTACACATTCCTCGATTATTGAATGTTTAGATTTTATATTTCTTCAAGTTTGCAAGTGTCAAACCAACTGATGAAGGTCCTTAACTTTTAAATTGTGGGATTTTGATCCTCAACCTTTCACTTCCGTTGCACTCATGGTCCAGATAAAATGTCACTTAATTCTGATTTAAAATAAGCCACTCTTTTTCAACCACACGTTCACATAATAAAATATTTTGCACGCAAACCAAAAAAAATTCATATTTTTTAACCACACATTCTTTAAAAAATCACTATTCAAAAAATTATTTTTCTCTAAAAACTCTTACACATCGAAGATGAATATTTGGATTGTGAAAGGAAAGATGATTGGTTGGTTGGAAAGATAATAATTCTCTTGTCAAAAAGTCTGGAAGAATATTGTCAATACCCTTTATGAATTCAATTAAAAAATTAAAGAAGGATAATTATTGGTTGCTACATTGTAAAAATTTGCTTTGACACAATTTTCAACATCCTTCTGTAAAACTTCTTTAGAAGCTTTGCAGTTAGTACGTATCAAAATGGTTTTGTTGATTATATTATTTTGAAACTTTGTAATACAAAGTCCCTGTTTGAGTCACGTTAAAATTTTCATTCACATTCTTCTATTCATTTTCAACCACACATTTTTCAGTAAAATAATATTTTTTTCCTTCTATTTCAACCATACATTCTCCATCAATCTACTATTCCAAAATACATTCTTCCAAAATAATGTGGCTCTAACACGCCCATAGTAATATAGACAGAATCTCCTTTTTGATTGTCGAATTTATTCGAGCAGTTATCCATATACCTGAATGGTGTCTTACCAATTTTTCTTAATTATTGAGTTTTTACTTAAGAATGCCGCCATCACCAAAGTCTGATGCATCAGTTTCTATTATGAGGAAAGCTTGAGGATTGAGAATGCAGAGATAAGAAAGAGATTTCACTAATCCCCTAAATTGATAACAACATTTGTTTGAGAAAATTTCCAAGTAATTTGGGTTTTTGGCAACCTTTGAAAAAGGGGTTCACAAATATGTCGGATATTAGGAACAAAGTTTGCAATATAATTAACGTATCCTTAAAATCTTGCAATTGATTTTTCTCTTTGATTTTATTAGAGCGCTTACCTGCAAATTCTATAAATGAGAACAATGGTTCCTTGAAAACTATCATTGCCTAAAACTTAGTTTTAGTTTCAAATAACTTGATTTTTTTAGTTGAAACGGCTAAACCATTATTTGTTTATTAGACACAAGATATATTAGCATATCATCAACGTAAACAATTGAAAATAATTTTTTGGAACTCTAAAGGTACGTCTTATAACCCAAATGACGTAAATCATTCAACTAAGTCGCAGATTATTCATCAATTATTCCGTTTGGCACCAACTCTTCGATTAGCACTTTGCTTCCACTCATTCATCGTCATGACAAAAACTCTTCGGATTTTGGAAGAGCTAAGGTATTTGATCTCATTTTTCTTTAGAGTTAGGATATTGTTTTTTCATTCTATTTCTCCATTCCTTATCAATCTGCTTCTTCAAATATTGACTCTTTAGTACTTTATCTTCTTTCACTACTACGTTAGCATACTTTGAACTCAGTTTTCTTTTTCTAGTTGATTTTCTTAGCCATGGCTATGAACTCATTTGTACATCAAACTCTTCTTGTTATCACTATCAACCCCTTTTTGTTCAAAGCACACCAGTTTGCCAAGGACTTTGTGTTTCTCCAATAGACTCTTCTCCATCGTTTATCTCCTCTAGGTCCTTGGGTTCCTCAGGATTGTGTATTACTTCGTTATTTCTCTTGAATATGTCAATTCTACCTTTTGCGGTGTCCACCATGAAGATGCTTTGTTAAACACCACGCTCCATGATATTTAGCAACAACCGCTTGTATGATTGCAAACTTTACATCTTTTCCTTTTGATGTCGTATTCCATGAATATATACCTGATTGCCTTTTTATCGAACGTAATCTATAAGTGATTGTGCATGAAAGCATAACAGACGCAACCAAATACTTGAAAGTGTCTAATTGTAGGCTTAATTTTTAAATTTATCAAAGCATAACATGAACACTAGCTTTGGTTGCGGTATCATATTGATCACGTATTGATGTCCTCGTACACCTGCCCAAAACCTTCTCAGTACACTCCATGTGTGGCATACTTTGACATGTTCATGCATGGTGTTGATTTTTCCTTTCTGCCACACGATCTTGTTGTGGAGTGTTTGGTCAACTGATGGTGTATCTTTTGTTCTCATAGATATAGGGAGAATTTTCTTTATGCATATGATCATTATCCATGCATAGTCAGTAAATCTTATTTTTGACATATCCTTCAACATTTTCTTTGAACTTCTTAAATTTTTTTAATGTTTCAAATTTTTCTTTCATAAAGAAAATCAAGATGTACCTTGAAAAATATTCAATGAATGTCACCATTTAGCTCATCTATCAAATTGATGGTTTCTTGGCAAGTCCAAACTCATTAAAGTGTATATGTTCTAAAGAGCGCTTTGCTATGTAGTTTGACTTCTTATATGATAGCTAATGTGCTTTGCAATATTTACAACATGTACACTCTATGTCATCTCTCTCTTGAATTGATAGATACCTTTGAGCATTGAGACTTTCATCTAAGGATGGCAATAGGCCGAGTCGAGCCAGCTCGGCCCTATTACCCTCGAGCTTGGGATATGCTTATGCTGGACTCGTTAGCTTGGCTAGGAGCTCATTAATTTCTTTTGATTTTTTTTTTATTTTTTAAGATAAAACCCTCATTCTTTATCCGTATTTAGGACCAACTACTTAAAATTTGAATAGGCGAAGTTAAAAATTGTACACGAACAACTTGTTACGCATACAACTGTTAAAAAAATTAAAATAGCATTATAAAATAATAAATTTTATTAATATAATTAAGCCCCCGTTTGGCCCTCATTTTTCCCATTACATTACATTAATTTTTTCACTCTCTTCGTTTTAACCACACATTCATCAAATAAAATAATATTACACACAAATCTAAAACTTTTCATTACTTTTCTACCACACATTTTTCCATCAATCACTATTCCAAAAAATTTCAACACCCCAAAATGGGGGCCAAACAGGGGCTAAATTAGATATAAATTACCTGCCGACATGTAATTTCGGTATACTTATCTTGTAGTTGAAAATGAGCGTCTTACGATTCTTTCACACACATTATTGTTTCCAAAGCATTTTCTTTCAGTTGGCTCTTACCTCAAATAGAACCCTCTTACCTGCACTAAAAGCAGACTCCGAAACTACAGTGCTAATAGGAGGTGTTAGTAGGTCTTTTGCAGTAACAGATACCACTCACCATTGTCATTTGTACTTTCGTCATAAGTCAATTACTTATTCTGAACTTTTTTTAATTGTTGCATTACTAGACATATGATAATTAAAGTAATCAAGTAATTTAGCAAGCAATGGATTTGGACTATATATATAATTTATAATTTCACCAAAATTGGGTCATTTTTGCAT